ATAAAAAATTAATTCACAAACAAAGCACGAGCGTAATATAAACGCAGAACAAACCGTTATACCGTTTTAACAAACTCAATAAGCAAAGAGCGAAAAGCAACCGGTTACGATGACAGTTCGACGGTGAATGTTGATGCCTAAATATATAACTACAAACCCTAGAAATTTCACTCTAATTCATTTTTTTTTTTCTTTAACAAAAAATCGATTTTTGAAGCCTCTAAACCCCCCTTAAAGAAAATACGTATTTAAGCATACCTGAGCTATTTTCAAATTAATGGAATCAGCCCGTTACTTTCTCTGTCCTCAAAACACTCCATATAATGATTTTCGTTTTTTCACCTGACTTTAAACTGTTCAATATGTTCAAAATTTTCTTTAAAAATATGTGGTTTATCGCTCAATTAGAATGGAATTGATCCATAGCTTTGTAATAATACAAAGAATTTTGATCCTCTGGCTGAAGTTTTCCACATTAGCTCAATATATAATATTAAATTTAGCCTTTTCAAAGATATTTTTAATTATTTTTAGCTGACGTGAACTAAAATGTAGTAACGAAAATAAGTTTAATTCTTTCGAAACATATTTTATATACAGTTTTGCCTTCACCTGAAGGAATTTCCCGAGCTTTGATTGTGGTAAGTTGCGATAGTTCAAAATGTTCCGATGCACCCGAAATCCCCGACCTTCTGTACTTGTTTATAAATATTTTTCCTAACTGAAAGCAGTGAACTTTAACTAGAACTGTACTGTATCCAAGAGCAATGCGCGTTACTGTAGCTACGGTATACAATAAATAACATTACAGTAAATTATTCAATAATTATTAAAAAGCGAACAAGTTATTGCTGATCAAGAATTCAAGGAATTTTATTTAAGTTAGAATTTTAAAAATGTTTGATACAAATATTTGTCCATGGAAAAAAAATTTCAAAGTCTAAACCGAAAAGTGATACTTTGAGATTTATTTATTTATGTGTTATTTTGGCTTTGTATCCTACCCTATCTTCAAAGGAGCTCATCCCGTGTGACGGTTTGAAAAAATCGATGTTTTCTTCATAATATAAATAGAGCATTCTTAGATTGTGCTGGTAAAGTAATTTTCGGAAAATAAATGTAGTAGGAATGTTACAGAAGTGAGAAAGTAAGTTGTTTGAAGTTTTAAACGTGGTTTTAACTGGTGTCCATGATTTCTCAAAGCGGTTACATCGATTGCTTTAAAATTTAAATGGTTATTTCATTACACATGTAGCTACCGCCCGAACTAGGGCTTTTGGAAAAATTAAAACGTTTTTGTTTTTCTAGGACAAAAAATAAAAGTTACTGCATAATTTTCATCTAAAATAAAATAAATCATTATGAAAGAAGTGTCGAATATACACATATAATGCAGATTTTGAGGTCCGAAAAATAATAAATAAACTTGATTTTTTGCCCATATTCTCTTAACTGTTACGGTCCCTGATTTAAAAGCATTTAAAAGTAAACTCACATTTCAAGATTTGTAAAATATCCTCCATATTCCAGTCTGCTGAACTCATTGACACCGTTTGTTTATATTTTTTCTTCATGGGTGCCATTTACTTAAAAAAATTCAAAGTTACAGCTAAAGAAATTTCATTCATTTCATTTGACTATAAAATATTCCGAAAAAAATCTAAAACGAAGACAGGCCGTCACTCAGGATGACGATCCTGGACAAAACTTGACACGTAATTTTTATATATATAGATATACATACATAAGATTTTATTTGTTCCTTTTGCTTAAATTAATGAAATAGTTCATAAACGTAGTGTGTCACTTACAACACTAAAAAGTAAAACTTGCAAAATAATAGAGTCATACAAAACAAAACAAAACTAAACATAATGCCTTTTAAAGGCCAATTCCTTCAATTAATTTTTCTCACACTTTTATATTCTTGCTGCCTAAGCTAGAAGACTAATGTAAAATAATAAAAAATATATATATATTTTGCAAGTAGATTTATACACATTGTTATGTGCAAAGGCAAAAAGCTACTCCACTAGTAGTTCGTAGTTTTCTACTTCTTTACACATGCTGTTGAATTCGTTTACAAAGGATTCCATTTCAGTGTTCATCTTGGCATTATCATGAGCTTCGTGTCGTTTCTTCTTTGGCTCTTCATTTATATGCTCAAGTTCCTCTTCTTCGGAATCTGAATTGGACTCTTCACTGTCTTTAAACATAACGAAATTTTGACGCGCTTTGCGTTTCCGCTTGGCAGGGCGGACATAGGTTCGCAGTGTCGGCTGTAAAAGAAAGTGATTAATCTAATGCATATTACTAAAATTGATGCATGTGCGTATATTATGTTAATATATAATTGTACATTTCACGAAAAAATTTTAATTTATTGTTGGAGCTTCATACTACCAATAAAGATGTACTTTACTCTTTAAGGCCCTGTGAGCCCCCCTTAACAAAATATTTGTTACCAAAACTTCATACTATAGCGAATGAAACAGCTAGAATTTCATACCGAGAAGTGAAATTCACTATGCATGATCGCTAAATTTATATTATACCAATTTCTTTAAAAATAATCTTTTAACATCAATACCTTTTTTTGGAACGTAGGTTCGGGTTCATAGTCATTAAAAAAATCTATTTCGGGTGGTTGCGTTGCCTTTTCATTGCCACATATCGAAATATCATTCAAATTATTTTGTTGCTTTTTTGGTTTACCATCATTTAAATTATAAATCTTTGTCGAGCAAAGCATTTCATTAATAAGTCGTTGTTTCGGGCCATTGTTGTCGAAAATATCACACGTTTTTGCTGAAACACTTTTATTATTATAAGTAGAGTTTTCGGGGCGCCATTTTTGAAGATCTTTGAGCTTATAACGTATATTGCGATTAACCGACTGTCTATTCAGCGACTTTACATCAGTTTTTTTTGGTTCGCCATCGCTGTCAGAGTTGTGATCTAAAAATTCTTCAAAACCGAATAAATCTTTTTCATTTGATTTATCACTTTGTGCAATATCACCAGTAACTGTGGAAACTACTTCTTTGTTTACTTCATCATCCACAGCTTTTTTCCATGATGGCAGACTTACAACTTCTATTATATTTATGGCTTTTAGTGGACTTCGCTTTCCAAGTGTACGTCGCGGATTAGGCAACTGACGCAAATTGAATATGGAGCCATTCTCATCGTTATTCGTTACAGTTAAAGCAGTCGGTGGCATATTTTCAACATTCGAATCATTTTCGGATTCGTGCGTGTTCTGCAATTGACCGCTTGGAATACTATTAGCTGTATTCTTTGATACGGTGGAGGAGTTGTCTTGCCTTGTGGTTATGGGCATCGGAAGTGTTATATTGGAGTCATTACATGTTTGCGAATCCTTGGATTTATTTTTCTTCGGTGTAGGAGGAATATAATCGCTAGAAAATGTGGGCAGGCATGACGTATTTTTAGTGAAATTAAATACTGACGGTAGGTGCGAATCATCGTTTATTCTCCAAGGGGAGGGACACACAGGACGATTTTGCAAACTGGGAAATTTAATTGGTGATAAATCGGAGGTCGGTAAATCTCTACTTTGACGATTCGCGGCCGGAGTACTAACAAATTTACGTGCCGCCTCGAGCAAGCGCCGTTTGTCAGTAAACTAAAATAAAAGCAGGAAAGTGTTTTACTAGAAGCAACTATAAAACTAGAAAAAAGTTATAAAAAAAACTTTTCTTACATTTTTTTTGTAAGTATTTTCGACTTTTCTTGTTTCTTGCAACAGAACTGAGCGAGCTATTCGACTAAAACCTTCATCACGTACATGTTGATCCGTTCCTGGAACGATATTTATAGGAATATTTTGTGGCTGATCGTAATTAGCCATGGACACATTTTGATCTTCTAATCCATAAGGTGGGGGTAATATTGCCCCAACATAATAATTGTTTAGTGTTTCTGCCATTTTTGACGGTTTATTGTTAACAGCGTTATTGTCTTTGTTCCCCTTTTCCTTAGAAGTTTTATTTTTATTAACTTCTCGTTTCCTTCTTCCAGCTTTTAACCGTCCTCGTTTTAAAATAGGTCGTCCTGTTCCTTTTTGGTTAGTTGCTACTCTTACTTTTCCTTCAGATATTAATTTTTTTATTACATCGGCCGCAGGGTCTCCATGCTTTGCAATCTCAGATTCTGAAGTGTCAGATTGAGACAAAAAATCGAAAATTTTTTGCGACTTTGTACATTTTTTCCTCAGGCGTACTTTTCCTTCCGGAACCCGATGAAAAAATTTATGGGTTTTTCTATGTTTTTTGACCTGGATAGTGTTGTCGTGTCCCTCTTCGGAGTCATTGGAACAAATTAATTCCTCTATTAAGTCAGGGTCATTAATTGCAGTTTTTAACGACCTTCTTCCTATAATATGAAATCGCAGAAATATTACTATTAATATTACCATTTAAACAATTGATATTTTCGACTTTTACCTTTGGAATTGGTGTGAGACAAATCTTCTTCATGTTTATCATCAGATATTGCCGAGTTTCTAACCGAACTAAAACTGGAATGATTTTCCGTAAATCTTTTGTCTATTGTGGTTCGGTCACTTGAACACTTCGATAGACTAAGTTTATTTAAACTTTTACGAAGATGCGGAGTTAGGACAATATTTGCTAAACCCATGTTGTTTTTCAAAATTTCATGATTTGCTAACATTATTCCTTTCGGTTTCGCAATTACTTTCGAAAAACTACTAGATTCTTTGGGAGTCTTCGTGTGCCTACCTTTCTTCATTGTATGTCTGGTTTTCAGCTCTTCGTCCTTTTTGGTACCTCTCATATTTTGAACTAAAAGATCAAGGTTTTCACTTTACTACAGTTTTATATTTAGAGTATACATACCAATTTCTTGCTCTGCTTTTTCTATTTGATGTGTTACTGCGTTAGTTCTTTTCACCCTAACCCGTAATGGCTTACACCCTATAAATGAAAAAAATATAATATATATATATATATATATATATAAATATATGTATTAACGACTACATGTATAAGATATATCAAAACCTTTTGGTAAATTATTTAATACTGGCTCAGTTGTGCTCTTGTGTTCACAACGTTTCCGGTTAGACACTACTTTTTTAAAAGCTTTCCGTATTTGCAATTGTTTTTCTGATGACCCAGGTAATGAATTAGTTATGCATTGTTCCTGCAATGCCACATTATTCTGTTTGGTGGGCGTATATATTTTGGAGTATTTATCAATGGGTAGTCGTTTCAACTTTACAATAAAGTTTCTGCATTCTAAAAATGGAAAGAAAATACTAGAAAACAAAGAAATTTATTAAATCTTAAATATTCAAACCTCGATTATTCTGCATTAAAGATAGCTGGTGGGGTTTGAGTAAGGAGAAAGTCAAGTTATCGGTTGTCTGCGTTAATGCGTGGTTTCTATTATTACACTGACTCTTATGTGGCATACATATGTCCACATATCTTTGTTGAAAATATTTTTTCCCACTTCATATGTTGGCAACTGCTTTAATATGATTTTATTCATTACACGCTCCGAAAGAATATGTTATCTCACTATTTTATTTTTAATTACTTGTGTTTGGCTTAGTCGCTTAGTAAAATTAAAATTTTAATCTGTCCTCAGAATATGTTATGTACACAAACCATATGCACGATATTAAATATACACGATATTAAAACATTTAAAAAACACAAAGTATAAATAACCAGTATCCGCGAACTTTATACGCACTATTTTAGCTTCTTATTAAATCCAATTGTATAAATTTATCTCGAATACAAATATTCATCTTTTTGTACATGCATAACAACGTATTACCAATCAGTGTTGCCACATCGTATATGGCCACATTTTGCTCATCTAAAACTGTTGTGGCGAGAATAAAACACCACATTTAATATTTAAACGATTATTTATTAAAATAACTCAACAGACTTCTTTACTTGTTAGCAGGGATAATGGGATGCCCAACTTATTCCATTATGAGGGCCTCAAAATAAGATTTTTTTTCTAAAATTTTCCATTATGGCCAAATAAATAGTGGTTATTTATTATATGAAGAAACTATTTAAATCTTTTTAAAGTATATTAGAACAACTGATTTTTGGCCTTTCAATACCCAATAAAAGGATTTAAGCTTGTTAGCTCTCAATCATTAAATGTTTTTAATCATTTTCCATTTAAAATAATGCTAGGTTACTTCAAATTACAAAGCGTTTCATCAAATAGTTTTAAATTTCACAAATTTATTTTCACAGAGTTATTTTGACAACTGCATGACTACACGACTGCAGGCCGACAGTTGTCGTTCTCGCTAATGTGAGGAACACAATGCGACATTGTATTCAACACATAATTGACAAATAGTGCTGCCAGATGTGATACGTCTTATCTGTGTGCCCACAATGGTAACCAAATATTAACAATTTTATTTGTTTGGGTTAGGGTGGAAAATGTTGCTATGGTGAAAACAAATTTTACATTTTGGTGTGCCTAATGGAAAGTACAATTTTGACATTTAGAGTTCAAAACAAGTAACGATGCGTATTACCAGCAGCCATCAAAAACCAACTAACTATTTCTCATTTTAACGCTTTTAAGTTGTAGTTATGTTGGTTAAGGAACGCTTTACCAACAGAAACTTGGCTATCTAACAATAGTTAGCTGTTACGAAACAAATCGATTGCATTAAATTATTTAAAAAATAAATTCTAACGACTAATTCGCTTAAAACTTTTGTTTCAATTTCCGCTTTAGGCATTTGTTTTGACACAAAAGTATGGGTTTGTTCCCATCGAAGCGACGAAAAGCAAATGTTAAACAACTCTCATTTATACGCTTTGCCCAGCAAATGGCGCAAAAGGGAGGAATGGTTTTCAAAGCGTACATTTTGATATACCTTTTGTCTTCTTAGATTCATTGTTGAAGTAGGAATTATCAAGCAAGGCGAAGATGGTTTGTTATTGAATTTTGTCGATGGCATGCATCTATTTCGATATTAGATATACTTATGTGGAATCAGGAGTATACTACATAGTTTGTATAGACTTTTGAAAGAACAATTTGAATTTGAATAGAATATTATTTTATTTTTACTATTTGTGTGTTAAAGGAGAGAACAAATTTTTTAAAAGTTTGCTAAAAATTCTTTGAAGACATAAACTAAGTGTTATACTTAATTAAACTAATTAAATATAATAATTAAATTAAACAAGGTGGCATCCTTATTATGATATCGCCATTTGTAAAAGATTCTTGCATTAACGCAGTTTCAAGGACCAAATAAATTATTTTGTGATTTGCCAAGAATGACAAGCATCGGGGATTTGTTTACAAAATATAATTGTACAAATTGCCAGGACGATATCTCTGGTATTCGTGTACATTGTGCAGAGTGTGAAAATTTTGATTTATGTCTTCAGGTGAGTAATTTATTTGGAATGTATTCATTGTACTCGCTGAGAATTCGTATGCATTCGTCCGTATATAGTAGCGAATGACTTGAGCATCTTCTTCGGTATATTCATAATCATATGACATTTCTATTGAACATATTCCACTGACTGGAAGATATACAAAAAACAGCTGAAAATGTTTATAATATAATTTTGTTCATAGTGTTTTGCTTCCGGGGCGGAGATCGGTACACATCAGAATAATCATGCTTATCAGTTTATGGACACCGGCACAGCTATATTGTCTGTATTTCGAGGCAAGGGCGCTTGGACTGCTAGAGAAGAAATACGACTACTGGATGCTATAGAACAATATGGATTTGGAAATTGGGAAGATATAAGTAAACACATTGAGACGAAGTCAGCAGAGGACGCCAAAGAAGAATATGTTAAACGATTCGTTAATGGCGCAATTGGTCTTCACACTTGGACACCCGCCAAATCGCAACGACCCTTGTTAGTAGATCACACTTCTGAGGATGTAGGTCCTTTAGGCGCTACAGCTTTACAACGTCTGCCTCCTTTGGACATTACCAATGAAGAAGCTGCTCAGTTAGGTTATATGCCAAATCGGGATGGCTTTGAACGTGAATATGATCCCACAGCTGAACAGTTAATATCGACAATGTCTCTCAGCACCGAAGATACCGAAGCTGATTATTTATTAAAATTGGCTCACGTCGACATGTATACACGTCGTTTACGGGAACGAGTACGACGTAAAAGGCTGGTTCGTGATTATCAACTTGTAGCTACCTTCTTTCGCAATCGTAATTATGCTCAACATCCAGGCATGACACGTGAGCAAAAGGAATTCCGTGATCGTTTTCGTGTCTTTGCTCAATTTTACACATCCAATGAGTACGAACGACTACTGATGTCTCTCGAACGTGAAAAAGAGTTGCGAATACGTTTAGCTGAGCTATGCCGCTATAGATACAACGGATTAACTAAAATTGACGAATGTCGACACTTTGAACAACATGCAGCTATGTCTTTAAATCGTTCAACTGGACCCTATGGTCATGGAAAAACTGTAAGTGCTTACTTAAATCTAGGGTTAAATTACAATTACTTCGAATATAAAAGAGTAAAACTAGATATTTTACTCATACACACTCATACGAGGACTTATTATCATGACGTTATATGCATATGTATGTAGTAGTAGAGTATAATCTGCTTGTTTTAAATAAAAATTAAAGATGATTTTTACATATGTGTATGTACATATATGTAAACGTACATAGGTATAATTTTTAAATTATATATATATACATATGTAATTTTCGCTTAAACTGACAATACACGAAAGATTGAATATCGTGTCGTATTTAGAAAAACTTTTCATAGTAATTCTGACGACTTGCCCTGAAACATATGCTAGTTTGGCTATGCTCATTATATTCCATTCCATTTTCACGATATTCAGTTTGCGTGTATTATCGGCACACCAAGCGGCGAACGTTTGAACGGATGTATAAGACAATGTTTAACCACAGGACAACACGCACCTCAGCATTGGAAGTCGTCGGCAGCTAGGCTCTTCCTTACACTCTCCACAACACAGCAGCAGAAAACCGTAAGCACTTACATTTCATTTGTTATTGAAAATAGCTTTGTTAATATTATTATAATTTTTATAAATATGTATATATAAACATTTCACAGCGAACTGTCAAACGGAGGCGAGGCAAACCTAAATTCCATCGTATCAAGAAACACGCTCCACACCGGCGACCTGACCTCCTCCGGCGCATTATTGCACAACAGAAATTACTTGGATAGCTGTCGGGAATCGTCGGTTCATACGACGATATCGCAAGCGGGGATGATAGTGGGAGCGGGCACTATGTCTACAACCAAATTAACGAACGGAAATCCACAGCCACTGATACCAATTCAGCAGTATACCACGACGATGGCAGTAAAAAGTCAACAAACGCCACAATTACAAATAAACGACGTCGCCGTAAACGAAAAACAACATTTACAGCAACTACTGTTGCAGGAAAATAATAATGTGGACGTTAAGACACTTCAAATGAGTAGTATTTTGCATGCTCAATTAGATGAATTAAAGCATCTACCACAACCTTTGGGCACCGATTTATTATCCACTAATGAACAGCAAGTTTGTAAAGACTTTAACCTACCGCCTACGACATATTTATCCCTAAAAACTTGTTTACTTAGCGGTGCTCCCATTGTTAATAATTTGTCACCCGTTGAAAACTCTCTAAGAAAGTATTTTATAAAAGTAGGTTGGCTGAGTCATTAAACTCACCGATGTTATAATATTTGTACGCTCTCAACTATTTCTGCCCAAACCACTTTATAATACAACAAAACAACAAAATAAGGCGGCAATATGTTTATACTAAATTAATTTAAAATTGGTATAATTCATATTTAAATTACATATACTTATAACTTTAGAATCATAAATTCCATGTATATTTGAAGATCTATAAAAACTCAATATATTTATTTAGCTTAAAATTTAGCAGTAATTAGAAATAATCTAAATGCTTACTTGTATCAAGTTATCATTTTTGGTTTTCTTTAACCATGTTTTTGTTCTAAGAATGGTTAATCCCCAAGGAACGGCTTAGTTTTAAAATGTTAAAATCACTTATATAATGATATAAAACGACATTCGGTAGTTGGTTTTTCGTTTAGTGTGAATATAAACATAGATATATACGAATAAAATTTTGTTCTGAAAATAAATTATAATATGAAATCTCTGCTATACTTATACGATGTCTTTCTAACAAAAAATAACGTTTATTTTGGTTGCACTGAAGTGATAATATTCGTCACAGGGGCCAAATCTCTTACTAGTTCTTTATAGGTTACTTTATAAAAAATATATATCTTTTCGAAGATTTTATTTTGATCAGTATGATTGTCAGCCACTCACACTAGCGTGGTTTGAGGCAATAATATCAGCTAAAATTCGGGTTGACATTTGTCAAAAATAAGTTTTCCATTCAAAATTTTAATTTTGATCGGCTTGCATGAGTTTTGTTGTGAGCAGATCTGAACAATTAGTTCGAAGATTGCGCAATTACCTAAACAATAATCCATCCCACATTTCGTGAAGATATCTTTTCTATGAGTAATGGCTGTTTTTCTCCAGATACTCTAGTTGGTACTTATACCGCAACATTTTTGCGTCGAACATTATGCCTTGCTATATGTACGTAATGATTGAGACTTGAATATCCCAGAACTCCAAATTTAAATATTCTCAACGTAATGTATTCGACATTTACTTTTACTTTTAATTAAAAAGCAGAGATTTGTTTTATATTTTCTAGTTTTAACAAATGCCTGTTTAGCTTTACAACAAATCACGCAAACAGTTTTAAAAAATTTATATTTATATGCATATCTTGTCAACCTGCGGCAAATTAAGGACCCTGTAAAATAACATTAAGATTTTACATTACGCGGGATAATAGACATATATTTATAACATATATATACCTAGCCAATTTTTGGATAAGTAAGCGTTTCACCAATAAGTAACAACAATCCAGGATATCACTTATTCCTAAGGAAATACCGATATAGGGTATTTTTTTGGGCTCCACTGCCGTTGGTGGTCGCACCACCAGATTTAGTTGTGACAGCGTTTGCTGATTGGTTGGTATGAGTTGTACCAGAGGCGATAGTAGTACTCGTTGATCTAATATTGCCATTAGCCACGGCAACTGCAGCAGCAGCTAGAGAACTGCGCCAAGAGTCAATTAATTCGTTTTGAACATCCAATGGTAACTCATTGAATACAGTTGTATCCACACCTGCCGGGCATGGAATGTTGGAGACATTTCCAGTGATGGTAGTAGTGTTCGTAGCTGTTGTAACTGATTCAGATTCTGTTGATATATCCTCAAGATATCCCATCAGTAATTGAGTAGATTGAATTGAGTCAGAAGTCTGTGTTGTAGGAATGTCACAACTTGTCGGTGTACTAGCTGTACCACCCGTTTCGTCCATTGGTGATGGTAATGGCGATGAGGTTGTTGATGATGGCGTCGACGATATTTGTCTTTGTGTTGTAAAGGTACGATTTCCCGCCGACGTTCGGTTAACTTTCATAAGTAATGACGAAGGAGGTTGTATCGTTCGAAAGCGTTGCAGGGGTGTACATGTAGTCGATGCTGTTGTTGTGGTCGAGAATGTTACCGAAGATGCAGAGCTTGTGGTACTTGTTGGATTTGTAATGAAATCTTTTTCACTGTCTCGTGAATTTAAACGCAAATCACACACACGAAGTTTACTTGGGGATGCAACGTCTGCAGTGTCAGTATACATGGCTGAATTCCCCAAACATCGCCGTTTGGCCATTAATAAACGACCAATACGACTTTTTTTTGGAGAAGGTTCAATTTCAGTTTCAGAGAAATCTGAGAAATCGGAATTAGTTGCTGCAGATTCAAAGCCATTGTCAATAAGCATTGGTATAGGTGAAGCAGCGGTTGCTCGTCGACGATAAAACTGATCACTTGGTTGAAAGGTGGTGGGCGAAGAACGGAATGCTTCGTCGTTATTTGGTGAAGGCATTGAGGCAGTTGGATTCTCTGATGATGTGGCTACATCAGTGTTTGTCAATGAAGTTATAGACTGTACTTCTAAATCAGTTTTTTTAATTAGAAAATTTGCAATGGACGATGAACCGAGCTTCCGTTGTTGAAACTTTGAAAACGCAAGGCCGATAAGAGTAATATTAAACGGCTTAGTAAGATCAACAACGCGTTCGAACAGGCGTAAAATAATCTTCAACAACTTTTCTTGTGCACCTTCTGCTAGTACCACCTTTTGACCGCCACTTTCCGTTCCTGTTTGGGATTTAAATAGTGAAGGCAAAATGTTAACTTGCTTAGATTCTCGATGACTTGTTTTTTTCTGAGGATCGAATTTACGTAAAATCACTTTTATAGCAATTGGTATGCGGCCATCCTCTGCAACCTAAAATAATGAACTATTTTATTAAGAACTAATGGTAGTAAGAAATACACATGTACCTGCTCCACCAAACGCATAAGCAGCAAACGAAAGCGATCTTCAACATCCCTTCGCACAGATATCGGTCGACACGAATCTTCGAGTCCTATTGTTTTAGGTTTTCCGGATGGACGCACTGAACTCACATCTTTTCCAAACGACAAATCTTTCAATTTTGTTGCCGTTTCAAAGCCAAATTTTTTTCGAAGGGAGTCCATGTTACATCCTTGCAATTCAGTAATGTTAGCGATACCACTCTCAAGAAGCAGTGATTCTGTTTTTTGTCCGATACCAGTAACTTTATGCAAACTGTTTAAATTACGCATAAACTCGTCCGCATAGTTTGAACATAGAACAGTCTGTTGGTTGGGTTTATGTTGAGAACCTACAAGTTTTGCCAACAGTTTGTTATACGATACGCCAGCACAGCATGTTATATTAAGTTGCTTATGCAAAGCTAAACGTATTTCTTTAGCAATTTGTGTACCCACTGCTAATCGCTGTGCGCAACCACAGTCACAACTTTGCGAAAGTTCTGCACCTTCCGGATATATATGACCTTCGACCCTGGGAATTATGCGGGAGGCAATAGCAGAACTTTCGACATGTTCATATTGGTTTTTTTCTATACGATCACACACTTGGGCTGTTACGTCTAAATAATTCTCATCGAAACCCAGTTTCTCCACCAATGGTGTAAAAGTCAAAAGTGCATCAAATATACGTTGAGACATTTGTTTATATGGTACCAAATCTTCACCATTGACTAAGGTTAGTGTAGGACAAAGACGTTGTGCCTCCTCGACGGCCATTAATTTCTTGACACCGAATTCACGAGCTAGATAGTTGCAAGTAACCACAAAATTTTTTTGCTGAATTCCCAGTGGTCGTGAGCGCAAAGTGGGATCACGTATTTCTTCAACCTGAGCATAGAAACAATCCATGTCTATGTGAATTATTGTACGCTGATGCGGTTCATTGCGGTTAATAACATTTGAAAAGTCCATTTTAGGTTTAGACTAGTTTTATCTGAAAAATATTTCGTTTCTCCGTTTAAATCTTTTCTAATTAAAATTAAAAAAATTAAAAATACATATACGTATGTACATATGCATGGCATTGTATTTTTGATAATCACTTTATATGACTCAGGAAAGATTAATTTAAATATATTTTGGGAAACGGATATTTTCCAAAATGCAAATTATTATGGTTGACGCAGAGTCACCATTAAATAGCAATAATAAAGAGCAGATACCAATAAGTTTAAATGCATCATCTTATTTTCTATGATGATACATTTAATCTTATCACTATTCTCATTCAATAGATAAAATAACATTAGCAATACATTTTAATACACAGAAACATAAATTCTATATTTAATTATTTGCTTATTATAATTATTTACTTTCTATTGCTTCCCTCGCAAATCGTTGATCAAAACAAAATAGCAACAGATACTCCGTTACCAATTCGGCATTGAATGTTTTGTACTGTCTCTTTAATTTTTCTTCGCTCATACGTCATAATCTTTCTACACTTATTATATTTCGCAATTTCGTAACGGTCATAATAGAATAAGGAACCGCCAAAGAGAAAACCATAACAATGAGTAATTGCTCTGCCAACAAACTACCCTGCTTCTCCATCTCCTAAAAAAATAATTTACTTGAATAAGAATAAGGCGAAAGTTTAAACATAACTCAACAAAACGCTTCTATGGCACCTATTATAAAATTATTTCCTCCTTCAAACACTATTAATAACAAAAGAAATCTGAGATATGAGATAAAATATATAATGCCGTAATAACGATCTCAATGATTCCAGATAAATTAGTCAAACACAATGTCTAGTATCAAATCCATTATCAGAAGCACACTTTTAATTTCCTGATAGCTGTGAATATATTATATAAAAAAAAGTAAAATAAAAACATGGAGAAAGTTTGTGAGTGCTTGGGTTGCGAATGTCAAAAATTGCAATCCTCCAAAGCAAATTAAGAAAAAAAAGACATTGAAGCAATATGATTTCCAGATTTTAGGTGATACTTTTTTTTACTTTTTTGGAGTTATTGGTTACTAACTCTAGTTTTCATTTACTTTTATAATAGCCTTTGTAGATTTAATATGCGTATGACAAGATGACGGCGATGTATAGAAGACAAAGACGAAGGTCATGGCGATAGCAACAACGTAATAAATGGCGACAAAGCACCAATTACACGAATTTTGAAATGAGCTTCTTCACTAGCTTTCACATTTGCTTTCCTAAAGTTTCTTACCTTGGAGTACTCCGTTTTTTTAAATCACAAGTGCTGCTGGTTTTCGTCTTCGCCTTTCCTTACGCTAATTACTTTTACGACGCCTCAAAAACCTATATTTTGTATTTTTCATCTAGCAAAAATTCCAGCTGTGAATATCTGTCTACTTGTGATTAACCGTTCTACTCATTTATCATTTTCTACATTTCTCCAGCTGTACGTATAATTCAGCTATTCAGCGCGATTTCAGAATGCTTAAGCGTGCCATAAACATCGAGATATACAGGTGTGACAATAAAAGTAATATTTTCCAATTCTTTTTGCAAGCCACATGTCGCAACAGAAAGCATTGACGAACTTTAATGATTTTTAAAATTCATAGTTTGATTTAAATGGCTTAAATTTATTAATACATCATATATTAGTGCAATATCAGTCAAATAAATACTTAGTAGTGAGTTAGTTAACATAAATGTTATATACATTCTCTCATTCAATTCATAACCAGACGAAAAAGAATACTTCGGTGAAAAAGTTGTTAACATGTCAGTTTAAAATAAAATAGTTTTCAAAAAAATAAGTCAACTCCATTCTAAAAAAAAAAACGTTGCAACTAACTGGGAAGAGCATTGTACATTTCAAAGAAATATGTAATGTAATTTATATATTTTTCAATTCAAAGCAATAAACGCCATGACAAACGATCAAAGATTTTCATTATTTTAGAAGTTTATCATTATAAATAGAGGAAATTATTATAAATTTCGATTTTAATAACCCAATTCGATCCATTGGCAATATTGCTGGCAAGATTGTGTTTTAGGCTATTTCTCGTCAACTTTGCTGTTGACATTTCCGAACTATTCCTTTTTGTTCAAATTGTACTAACTTTTAATATAGTTTAACGGCGGATTTTCTTATTTGCTTTTGCTATACAATAAGTAGTTTTTCATTTTATTAAAAAATTGAAATAAAATTTTCAAATAAGAGGTCATACCATATTAAGAGGAAGTTTTAAAAATGGAGTCGAAGTTACCAAAGCCTTCGGGAATAAAACGTCCAACAGCGCTCACGAGAAATATTTTACCTATGGACCGAATAAAAACAGCAACGCTTGGTTTGCGTTCAAAATCGACGAATTTGTCTATATGTGCGTTGGATAATTTTCAGCCTCTTTCTCGCGACCTTACTAATTTACCAAATGGTCTTCAACGCAGAGGTATTTAAATTAAAGTCTTTAATACCTAGTGAAAAAAAAAAAAAAAAAAATTTGCGTAGTGATAATGTATTACTTTTTTAAACTGATTTTTCATAGCAAAAACTAATGCCACATTTTAATTTCTAGAACGTGCAGGATCCCCAGATATAGGCCGACCGAACGTCACAAATAGTAATGGTGTTTCTCGTTCAAAATTACGACGTAGCCGATCGGCTTGTGATATTCGAGATATGCGAGCTATGAAGCGTCCCGAATTAACTCTTGCTCCAATTCCCGCCAAGACAACGCGCTTTGCTACTGCAGGCGTGACTAATAATTCGGCAGTATCAACCCAACCGTTTCCTTCAAACAGTACAGTTTCCAAACCACATCGAATAGGACATGTTGCAGTTTCATCTACCTCAACTGCAAAAAAAGTATACCCTACAAAATCTCAAAATACAGCAAATATAGGGAACAGTGGTCCTGGACGCGTTGCTAGCACAAGTACAAAAACGTCAACTACAGTAACTAAGAAAGGCATGGGTTCGAGTACTACTACATCTGTTTCAACTACTGGAGCTGGAAAACCTATTAATAAACGCATACCGCCTTACGATTTTAAAGCACGGTACAATGATTTATTAGAAAAATACAAAACACTAAAGGCAAAGTTTGAAGAAAAGTGTGAGCAAATGGGTGCAATGGAAGGTGTGCCTGAACAGCTAGAGGAGTCGCAAGATCAGTTATTCAAAACAAAAGAGGAATTAAGAAATATCTGTACCGAGAGGGATTGTTTAAGCCAACAAATTAAGTCATTGAATTTGAAAATAGATTCCATTTCGGCATTATTCGTGAAGACGAAAGACGAATTGGACTTTATAACAGAGGAACATAAAGTGAGTATTGATTATTTGCAAATTGTGGATCTTAGTAATTTATGTATATATTTTCTTATAGATCTTGAAAGAAGCACACGGGACCCTTACTAATGAAGTACTTGAGCTACGAGAGCGATCAACACGCTTAACAGAAGATAATGTGTTATTGCAGGAAGATTTAACTGCTTGTAAGGAACAACTGTTTCGTGCCAATTTAGAACGAAAGGAATTGCATAACACAATTATGGATTTGCGTGGTAATATACGGGTTTTCTGTCGTGTTAGACCACCGTTGGACTTTGAACAAGAAAAATTACTTTGTGGATGGAATTACGTAGATGAGTCCACAGTGGAAATTCAGAACTTTGAGAACAGGAATAAAAGTGGAGCACATACTTTTTCATTCGATCATGTTTTTCATCCCAATTCAAAACAGGAGGATATATTTGAAATGGTATCACCTTTAATACAGTCGGCATTAGATGGCTACAATATTTGTATATTTGCCTATGGACAAACAGGTAGTGGAAAAACATATACGATGGATGGTATACCAACCAATGTGGGTGTAATACCGAGAACCGTAGATTTGCTTTTCGACTCTATTAAGAACTATAAACGCCTTGGATGGAAATATGAGATACGTGTTACATTTCTGGAAATATACAACGAAGTGCTCTATGATCTACTGAGCAATGAACAAAAAGATATGGAAATACGCATGGCTAAACATAATAAGAATGACATATATGTTTCAAACATAACACAAGAGACGGTTACATCAGCGTCACGCTTGCGGGACCTTATGCATGTGGCTAAAATGAATCGAGCTACGGCTTCAACTGCGGGAAATGAGCGATCATCGAGATCGCATGCAGTTACTAAAATAGAACTTATCGGTTATCACGCTGAGAAAAATGAAACATCTGTCGGTACAATCAATCTCGTTGACCTGGCCGGTTCTGAGTCGCCCAAAACAAGTACACGCATGAACGAAACGAAAAACATTAATCGATCCCTTTCTGAACTTACTAATGTTATCTTAGCATTGTTACAGAAACAAGACCATATACCATATCGTAATTCGAAGTTAACACATTTATTAATGCCATCATTGGGTGGAAACTCGAAAACATTAATGTTTATAAATGTGGCACCATTTCTAGATTGCTTTGTTGAGTCGGTTAAGTCCTTGCGTTTCGCAGCGTCCGTTAATTCATGTAAAATGGCGAAAGCAAAACGCAACAGATTCTTAAATACATCTAGCAATAATTCGCTCTAAAATTAGTGCCAATGCTATATTTATTAAGAATTTTTTTATCTTTGTACAAATTTTCGATGCCTGCTTGTATTTTTTGTGCTTTTCCAGAAATCACAAACTTCTCAATTAGTTTTGTACTTTGCGTTATTATATTTTAATAAACAAATAGCTCACATAAAATCTAGTGAACTACTTTTTGTATACACATTTTTGCAATTGCTATTCTCTTTGACTTGAAAGCAAAATCTTAGATTTCTTTTCATGTGACAGTCGTTACTAGAGATGGTATGGAACTTTTTACAAAATGCTGTTTTAGTGCACCTTCTTTTATTTTTTGTTCAAATATTTGAGTTTTAATTTGATATAAATTAAATATTTATAAATGCATTGAAGCACTATACTGGATTTACACAAATGCGTGTAAATGAAGTTCTGCAAATCTGAAATTTATTGTTTGTGCCGGGTCGAAGTTTGTAAAAGTATTGGATTAAAAGATTGCTGATTGAAAATTCTAATAAGAAAATATCAACAAACAATGACTTGCTGGCCATGTAACCCCTTTCCAATTTTTTTTCAGTGAAATAAAAATTAATGCCAATTACTTAAAGCACGGTGTTTTCTCGATTTCACTCAGTTTCAATTACAACTACTTAAAAGTTAGGTGCTGTTATTGTTTCCACGATAGTCGGGTCAAGTAACGGTGACGAACCCGGGTTTTATCCGGCCAAGAATTATCAACACGGCACCATTCCTCGAAATTACTTCAAAAATGTTTTCAACAACAAGAAAAAAAGAACACTAAATTATCATAAATTAAATAAGGAATCAGGAAATTTTAATTTTCTCCTTTATTGTAAGAGATCGTTAATATAATGCACTAGTACTAGTCTGAAAGAGAGTATGCAGTAGGTGTCTCCACTGATTTTTTATTGCTATTATTTTATTTTTAGTAAAGCTCAAKAAACTCTCTAAAAACTTGCTATCGATAAGTAATTTTGCTTGTTTAGCAGTTAGGCAACATAAAATGTTCTATGCACGCAAAGTAGCTATAATATCATTAGGTACCTGGCGGGCGATTTCGGAATGTGATATTTCAGGAATTGTTGCTAAGACACCCATCCGATTTTTATTATCTACATCAGCTGCATATGAGTAGTGAATGCCTGCTAAATCGGTAAGGGTGCCGCCGTATGCTTCTAGTACAGCTTCCGGTGCACAAGTGTCCCACCGCTTGCATCCGGGGCTAGCAAAAACATATGCGTGTGCCTTGCCTTCAAGTAATTGTAATACTTTGTATCCAGCACCCCCAACTTTAATTACTTTTGTTGGTGATAGAGCATCTAATGCTTGTTGTACCAAAGGTGTTAAATGAGAACGTGTAGTAGTAATAATCATTTGCCCTTTTGGAGGACTTGTATGTTCGAATCCTCCTGTGCCTAATCCTTTAAGACCCCATATAGTTCTGCCTATGTCGCCATTAGATTGCTTGTAGTAGGGTTGGTGAATAATACCTCCAACAGCGCGATCTTTAATTGCTATCCCAATTAGTACAGTCACATGCTCTAATAAACCTTTAATAAAGATAATCATTGATTTGATAAATTGGCAATATTAATAAATTATGTTGTACCTTTAGTGTACTCTGAAGTGCCGTCTAAAGGATCAACCCATATCACGAATTCTTCTTCCTTAATTTCTAGTAATTCCTCTGGGCAACTATGTGTGAGAAATTCCTCGTTTTCCTCTGATACCAACCACTCCGCTTTGACATTTAAGTTGGAGTCACCCTCCTCGCCAATGACTGTAATATTAGGAAATTTTCTGGATAGAGAAGCAATAATACATTGTTGAGCCGATCGGTCAGCTTCAGTTTGTAAGTCGTCTTTGCCCTAATAAATGTATTGGTCATAGATTTGTAAACGTATGTAAGTTGCTAATACCTCTTTTTCCACAATACCAAGATTGCCGCGCTGCATTACTTCTCGAATTATTAAGCCTGCACGGGCTGCCGTGTTGATGGACAAAGCCATGATACGCATCACTTTAGGAGTTGTCATTGTGTGTTATAAAATTTTTATTTATTTTTACAAAAATTTCTACTTTGGCAATGTAGAGTGACTAGGAAACTGTAAGCCTCTACAAATAAAATTATCGT